CGGGCCGGCGGAGGTGAGTACCAAGACCTGATTTATTTTCTTCTATCCCCAAAAAAGGTGTCCAGCCCCGCCCCAGACCCCTATTCCATCTGCCCAGCCTTTCCCTGTGGTGTTCTCCCATGGCCAGGCAGGGAGGTGGGTGGCCCACAGCCCCCCCAGCTGGTCCCCCCCGGCCCCTCATCACCATGTCCGAGATGAATTGAGGACGCCTCCATTCATCCCACACCGACCCGGGTGCTTGGCAGCCTCTTATTTTCCTTTCCTCATCTTCCACCTCGCTTTTGTCATTCCTCATCCATAGGATACCTACTGCTCGCTAATGCTGCAAGACATTGCAGCCCAAAGTGATAAAGTCCAGCAAAGTTTCGGGCTTAATATCACAGGTTTCGGGCAATCTCATGACAGTCTTTGCTATCGCTTCTGCTAAAAAAGCCTCTTTGTGCGGTTGCACCTGATGCCGACTGGCTGGAGCATCTTGCCCCAGCAGCCCTGCTTGCTTCCTCACTCCTTCTCCCATGCCGGTGCTGCAAACCCCTCCGGCGCCTTTCTGAAGCCCCGCTGGAAACGTGTTGGCCGAATTCTGCACCCAGGACAAGGGTACAGAGGCCAGGCAGGGCCTCTCTGTGTGCCGGAGCCTCGGGGAAAGCCGGTGTTCCCAGCAGCTGGGAAAAGCATCTTGGCTGGCGAGCTGAGCACCGGCACGGGGATGGGGGGATGATACGGCCGCCCACCATGCAGCGGCTTTGCAGTGCTTTCACAGAGCTGGGCTGACCTGCAGGTGGTTAGGCTGAGGCTTAAAGCAAAAATATGCCTTTTTCTGCCTTAAAATTGCAGCCTGGGTTTGCCTGGAGTGAGTCCCGTCACCACTGCAGGCAGCTGCTGCCCGTGCCCAGCATCCTCCCACATCCCTGCCTGCGTAAAGCTGGGGAAACCCGCGGGGGGGTGCTGCCCAGACCTGCTCCCCCTGTTAAATCTGTAGCGACCGAATGCCATCCCCCCCTCCATCAGAAGCTCTCAGGGTCCCGGATAATGATCATAATTATGTATAATCATCGCTTTCTAAGTAAGGGGAGGGCAGGGTCTCCTCTGCCCCAGCCCGTCTCACTCGGGTATTCTGGCTTTGCTGGGAAGAAGATTTTAGGGGATCTCAAATTGCAGACCTCAGAAGCACAAAGAGAAACAGCAGCAGACACCCGGGAGCAGGGATGCTCCCAGGTCTGCTGTGCCGGGGACTGCATGGACACAGCTCCCACATGGCCGGAGCGCTGCGGTGACAGGACATGGATTTCTCTTCCTTGCATCATCCCTAAAAAGAGAACAGAGTGTCTTCTGGGCTGGTTTAATTCCTCGTCAAAATAATGACATAAAGTAATAATGATATAAAATAATAATTCAGCCGAGGTGCTGCGGTACCTTGGGCCGCGTAACCCAATGAGGAGGAGACTTGTTGGGGCACTGAGATGATCCCAGCAGGACACGTCGCAGCCAGGCTGGGCACTGGTAGAAATATGAAAACCCACCTCTGAGGGCATTAAGAAATGAAGGGAATAATCACTTTATCCTCTGCCAGCTTCATTTTCCTGCCTTCCCTTCCCCAGGCCCTTCCAACGGCAGCTGGCCCAACTCCACCGCAAGCGAGAGCCACCTCCTGAGGGAGAACTACACCTTCTTGGCGTACTACCAGCACTCCTCCCCCGTGGCTGCCATGTTCATCCTGGCCTACACCTTCATCTTCCTCATGTGCATGATCGGCAACATCCTGGTGTGCTTCATCGTGGTGAAGAACCGCCAGATGCGGACGGTCACCAACATGTTCATCCTCAACTTGGCCATCAGCGACCTGCTGGTGGGCATCTTCTGCATGCCCACTACCTTGGTGGACAACCTCATCACGGGTGAGCAGGGCAGTGTGGGGGGGTGAAATCAGTGGGGAACATCACCCACCTTCTGCCCCCCACACGAGGCCACTCCTGCCCATGGGTGTTTTTTTTTGCTGAGGATGAGGAAGGCAGGTGGTGGCCACTCAACCACATCTGATGAAAGGTATCATCATTTCATTTAGACCTACTGTTTTAGGGGAAAAGTGCTCTTTTTTTTTAGGTTTTGAACATTTTCTGGCAAAATAAGTATGACCTTAACACTGCATTTACATATTTATTTAAAGTTCAGCTGTTCTCTCTCAAGCAGCACTGAAAAAAAATCCTCCTCTTCTTGCATCGATCTTCTCCCCGTGCTGGCTCAGCTCTGCCCGTTAACCTTTCCAAAGATAAAGCGTGGCACTGGCATGGTTGGTGGAGATTAGCCAAAGCAGTAGCTGGGGCACAGGGCAGACTCTGTATTTATTTATTACGGGGTGCAATTTATTTATTGCCAACCCCTCAGCAGGGGTCAAGAAACAAGATGAAAGCCCTTCTGATCGAGGATCCCAAGGTCAGCCCCCATGGTAACAACTAGAGCCCTACGTAAGGGTAGGAGAAATGACAACCACTGTGCCCCTTGAGTTTCTAAGTAGTGTAATACCCATCTTTTTTCACCAATTTGGGGGTTTTGCTCCAAGCATCTGTACTGCTAAAGGCCATCTCTGTAAGAGCCAAAAATGCAGCCCCCCCTTAGGAGCAGGATTTAGCACCCCCCAGCAATGACATGGTAGATGGGGACATCTAGAGGGAGCTGCCGATGGACCCAGCCGAGCCAAAGGCATCTACAGCCTCCACGGTGTCCCCTCGCAGGTTGGCCCTTTGACAACGCCATGTGCAAAATGAGCGGCCTGGTGCAGGGCATGTCCGTCTCCGCCTCAGTTTTCACACTGGTGGCCATCGCTGTGGAGAGGTATGTTGGTGCAGGGACGTGGGGACACGGGGACCAAGCCACCCCCAGTGTGTTCAGGTGTCCCGTGTGGTTTCAATCACGGGAAAGCTCCTGGGGACATCAGGAACGTGGCCCAGCTCTCCAGGAGGACCACAAAGCTGTCCATGGGGCATCCCAGCAAGGTGTCCTTCCCCACCTTGGGCTGCAAACACCAAAGCTGAAGAGACCCCAACCTATCTCTGCCACCAAAAGCCATATGTAAAGAGCAACCCATCTTACTCTCCCTTCCCAGCCCCGGGTCCTGGCCACCCTTATTCCCCAGGGACGTCCCACCAGGTGCCCAAAGCCACCACTGTCTGCCCTCCCACAGGTTTCGCTGCATCGTCTACCCCTTCCGGCAGAAACTGACGCTGAGGAAAGCCGTGGTGACCATCGCCATCATCTGGGTGCTGGCCTTACTCATCATGTGCCCCGCCGCCATCACCCTGACCGTCACCAGGGAGGAGCACCACTTCATGGTGGACACCTACAATAACTCCTACCCCCTCTACTCTTGTTGGGAGGCCTGGCCTGAGACAGGGATGAGGAGGATCTACACAACCA